GCACTTCTTCCCCAGGGATTTAAAAGCTGACCAATTAATCACGCACACACCATGCACCACTTGTTGTATATAAAGTGGGTCTTGAGTGCGTGCCCTTTACAAAAAGTTGACTGATTCTTCATGAGAGGGCATGCAAAGGTTTCCAGAAGAGACCTCCTTCGCCATCTGACTGACGTTTTTCACTCCTAATACTTGACAGAGCGACTCGATCATCTTTTTGTTAACACAAACATTTAGCATTTGGAAAACTGGACACCTCTTGCATGACAGGTGAGTTCCCCCCACCCTGTCTGGTGGGACTTGCTGTGCACCACTGGAATAGTCATTTACTGAAACTCCCTTCTACTGTGAGTATGGTAATTTCATAGCTAAAATTTGTATGTATTTTTACTTTTTATTAATGTATTATTCTAGGGTGGTTGATGCTCAACCTTCAGATGTGTTTTTAACCGGTCGTTTCATTAACTTGTGAATTCTAGTCATGGTCAATATTTGACTGAGGCTGACGGAGCGTGCAGCTCATGCTGTATTTTTTGGAGCTTATTGAACATTTAACATGTAGCCTAGATGAAGTCCAGGCAGTTGATGAGGTCGGTGATCATTTGAGCTCTGATGTTCGCCTCATGAATGTCATCATGTTTTTTTTAACACACCCAGACAGTCAACACTGACTGCTGGCGGCAGCGACGCTGCTAACGAGCTGCGGGATGTCAGTTGTAAATAACGCAGTGTTGATTTCTTTCTCTCTTTTTTATTGGCAATAATGTCTCGCTTCGTAGTTTTGTCGTGTCGCTTGCAGTGTAGATGGGGTGTCATGGATACAAACACCTGCATGCCGCATGTCCACGTTTTCCTGAGCGTTTGGGACAAGATGACATGAAGCGAGTTCATTTGCTCGACAGACACGTGCGTTGAGTCGGTGTGTGATCTGAACGCATTCTGCAAATGCATTTGACGGTAAATGAGACACTGACATTTGTTAACTGTACTAGACAAATAAGTAATCAGTACGAGAACGAACAGCAGAGATCTGTGTGATAGACTGTAGTAAAAAAGAGTGCAGCTTGTCTCAAATCTCAATGGTCATCATTCCGCCACAATACCCACCACAATACCATGGCAACAAGGGTTATTGTTATTCTAAACCCTATTTAAATTTTAACGAGATCTCCTTAAAGGATTTTAAGCATTATTTCTGTCAGTGTGTTTTAATTAAAAACGTATTTATTTATTTATTAGACGACAGACGTGGTTAATTGCAAGCTACCAAAGTTGAATTGTAAGTTACCTTTTCTGTTGTAGCCTGAGATATGTTAGCAGAACTATCGTTTCCATGGTGATTTCTTTTCTTTTTCTTTTTTAAGTAGTATAAGAATCACTATATGAGACTGAACTCTACCATAGGTCCAAGCTATGTTTAAATTTTAAGGTTTATACAGTACCGTTCAATGTTGCAATAGTTAGCAGAGGACATTATCAAGAAAAGGTTCTTAGTTTTTCCAAATATGCAATTACATAAATGTGGAGAAAGTCTCAAGTAGAATATGGATCGTAATTGGAAAATGATGTGTATGTAAACATGGTCAATGTACACATTGTTTCTCTTGGTTTATTATTAGGTTGGCTTACTAAATAGACATTATGAATGGCTCTGTGTTTCCAGGTCATTGATTTTTTTTCGTTTGCCGTTCTGGATGGTGGCTGGATGGGGAATTGGCAGGCTTGTTTTCGAGACATCTCCATTTGTAAATGAAGACCTTAACAACAAATATTTGTCGCTGTAAAAATAACCCAGCACCCTGCGCCCCGCGCCCCTTCCTTCGACTGCTCCCACCACAGCTGCTGGAGCTTATCCCCAAAGCAACAATCCATAATTAACCCACCGGTTGCTTGTCCCCTTATGTCATATTTCCAATTTACAGTTTCAGTTTTTATTCGACCACCCATTGTGAAATATTTCATTATTAATTTCACAATGCAATTGGATATAAACATTAGATCTTTTCTACAGATTAATCTAATCCACATAACACTTGCACATAAATAACTGTGTTTTCAAGTATATTGCTTTGATTTATCAAAGGTTTTTGCTGGGCCATGTCTTCCACAAGTACCATAATCAGAAAACAGACACAGAATCAGCTTGCGGCCAAACCCTTGACTGCCATGTAACGAGGCATGATTGCTGAAATCATCAGGGTGTATTTATAAAAAGAAAATCTGCATAGGTCAAACGAAATGACAGTGTTCAGTTATAATTTACTGTTATAATAGCATCCTTGTAATGTGGAATTAAAACAGTACTATTTCATTGCTGGTGGCTGGATTGCATGGTGTGCAACAATTCAGCCGTGAATTCACGTCATCGCAGGATCGTGGTGATCCATTATATCATAATGTTCAGGACAAGGATTACGTTTTTCTGTTAAATGCATTATGAAGACGTCATTTTGCAATTAAGACTATATCCTCGGGAAACAAAAAAGATATGAGGCAAATTTCCTAGAACAATGCTGGACATATTATCAGTTAAACACAAACTGTTGTGCTGTAGTTTGTCACCGAGACATAAAACGTCCAGTGGCCATTGAGGTCATAAGCTGGATAAAGCGTATCTCCACTGATAGAGCAAGCATGCAAATTTAATTGCTTGAAAACATTGTTTTGGCTAGTAAGACTATTGAGCCTCTCTGTTTTATTGTTTCACAATTTAACTGTCAATTTTGCATAATAATAAATAAAACAAAGTAATATTTCGGGCTCAATACAATAGCAACAGTAATGCTCAATTAACAGCATCTGTGGCATAATGTTGACGATCACAAAAAAATAAATAATTTAGACTTGTCCCCCATTTTTTTTTTAAATGAAAAAAATAAAAAAAAATAATAATAAAATCCAGAGTTAAGCCCCGTCCACACCAAGAACGATAACGATAAATATAAAGATAAAGATATTAGCATCCACACCAGCGGACGATATGGTCTGTTTATTCAAAGCGCACGTTGGTTTGCCGCTTTAAATTCTTGAGCTCGTTATATAGCAGGATTGATTCTGATTGGGTGTCAATGTTTTTATCGTTCGTCAACTGGAAAAAATTGTTCTGAAAGTGATTCCAATGATATTGTTTCTCTGTGCCTTTATCATTATAGCTGTAGTGTGGACTCTGCTATTCTTAAATATTGAGAATGATTTTTAGAACTATATCTTTATCGTTATCTTTATAGTTATGGTCTTTGGTGTGAACGGGCCTTTACTATGAGGCACTTATAAAGGAAGTTAATGGGGCCAATTTATGGAGGATTTAAAAGCAGAAATGTGAAGCCTGTAATTTTATAAATGGACGTACATTAATTCTTGTGTTAAAACTTGTGTATTTAAGCTGTAAAGCTGTTTAAATTAGCCTTAAAGGGCTCATATGATGTCATTTCAAATTTTCCTTTCTCTTTGGAGTGTTACAAGCTGTTCGTGAATAGATAAGATCCCTAAAGTTGCAAAGACTAAAGTCTCAAACCCAAAGAGATATTCTTTATAGAAGTTAAGACTTATCCACGCCCTCCTAAAACGCCTAGTTTAAACACGCCCCCACATGTCTACGTCACGGTGTGGGAAGATTTGCATAACACCTGTCAAATGTTCACGCAAAGAAAGAAGGCGTAACTTTTATTCTTGTTGTAGTATTGTTGTTGCCGCAGCCGCCATGTCGTGGAGACGCTGTATGTTTCGTTGTGAAAGCAAAACTACTTTGGTTGGCCTTCCAAAAGAGGACGATATCCGCTTCGTCATGCCTGGAGCTGATCCGTGCTGGTCGCTGAGGAAATACATAAATTTCGCGCTGTGGATCGCCGGATTGGCTTTCACTGTGGACGAAGTGGAGTCCAGCCCCGGGTCATCACATGTGGTTGCCAACATTTCCGTCACACGCTTGAGGTATTCAGCCAATCACAACGCACTGGATAGCTGGCCAATCAGAGCACACTTCGCTTTTCAGAACGATAAGCTTTGTAAAAATTGAAAGGCGGGGCATAGAGGAGCAACAATAATGTACAGTATGTGGAAAATAATGTGTTTTTTGAACCTTAAACCGCATAAACACATTGCATTACACCAAATACACAACATAATGTTATTTTTAGCAACGTCATATAACCCCTTTAAAGGCCTGTTCACACCAAGGACGATAACTATAAAGATAACGATAAAAATATAGTTCTAAAAATTGTTCTTAGGATTAAAGAATAGCAGAGTCCACAGCACAGCTATAATGATAAAGACGCAGAGAAACGATATCGTTAGAATCACTTTCAGAACGATTATTTCCAGCTGACACCCAATTAGAATAAATCCTGCTATAATGAGCTCGAGAATTTAAAGCAGCAGACGAGTGTGCACTTAGAACAAACAGACAATATCGTCCGCTGGTGTGGACGCTAATATAGTTATATTTATAGTTACCATTCCTGGTGTGAACAGGCCTTTACAGTCATTTTAGAGTTTGTTGTTTCATTGCCATGGCAACAAGGCTGTGAAGTTGGATATAATGCTATACAGTTAGTAAGTTTTTTTCTTAAATACATGTTTTCTGTAAAAATAAATAAATTCACAATAAATTTTGTGGTAGTCAACATTTTGCATCAAATGCTATCAAATGCGTTTGTCATACTGATCCCAGACCATTCATTCAGAGTGTTAATTTCACGCATATACATGTCAAAGCTATCACTTTTGCACAATCTTTAATAAAAGCATACATGGACACATGAAGTATGTCCGTAGGTGCCAAACAGAGCCCTAGGATGTGTGTATCTCAGTCTTTTTCAAATGATTCCTGGAGTTAATGCCACAGAGCTGTATTGTTGAGTCATGTCCCTTTGGTCACATGTTTGTCAGAGGGCTAAAGGAGGAAACTTAATCGAGGGGGGAGGGACAGCTCTCAGTGGGTGCCTCAAGGTTGGAAGTGAAAAGCATGTGTGTGTGACAGATAGAGAGAGAGACTGAGACAGAGAGAGGTTAGGGTAAAAGGGTAGTGCGCTTCAACTTCCAGAACAGCTTTTCTGTTCTCCAATCACTGCCTTTTTTCACCTCCTGTCCCTCCTACCTCTCTGTGTCTCTTTCTTTTTCTGCCTTTCGGTGGCTGTTTGGCTTCAGTGGGTCTTTGCCATCACACTACAATGACTGCTGTAGCTGTAGCCTCCCTGCAGTGAGCATTCTGAGGTAAGTCTCTCTCGCTGTGTTTCTCTGTTAGAAGCAAAGCATGTGCTTTTCTTCTCTGTAACAAGGTCTAGTTAAAGGGACAGTTCACCCAAAATTGGAAATTCTGTCATCATTTACTCACCCTCATGTCATTCCAAACTTGTATGACTTAGTTTCTTGTGTGGAAAACGAAAGATTATTTTTTAAGGAATTATGGTAACTGAACCATTTTGGTGACCTCTGACTTATATGGTATAAACTAAAAACACATCCGTTCTTTGAAATATAGGTTTCAGAGAAAAAAGTACGTTTTAGGTTTGATATCTTTGGTTTTCTGGTGCTTGTTATATAGGAAGGGTATGTTCATATTTTTGTGGTAGAAAAACAGGCATATAAAGTGTTTGGAGTTGTATTTTGCTGAAAATGAAACTGCAGCCCTTCCTGTCTTACGAAGTGTTTCCTGTTGGAATTCTTCAGGGAGAGAGGAATTATACGCTTAGAAAGATGCTTGAACGAATCGTAATCATGTTTTTTGCTCATTCTTTGTTGTCACTGGACTGTGATTGTCAGGAATGTGGTTCTTTCTCTCTTTCATCCTTTGTATATCCAGCCCAGTGATGATGAGGGGTCTAGAGTTACGCTTGGTATCAGAGTAACAATGACTTTGGCCCAGATTAAGAGCATTGGATGACTCAGTGATTCTTCTAATGGACTGGGATACTGAAGGTTTTACTCATTTTCTAACAAACTTGTTCTATTTAGAGTTCCTATAGTTCAAACAGTAGAGCATGGTGCTAGGAACCGTCAAGATTGTTGGTTTGATTCCTAGGGAATGCATGGACTGATAAAATATATAGTTATAGTAACTTGAATGCATTGCAAGTCACTTTACCAAATGCATAAATATGCATAAAAATGTACATTTATCTAAATTTAGCACTAAATACAAAGCAATACAATGTTGAGTTGCATGTTTATCGACATGGCTCTGACATTTTTTTTTCTATTTCTGACCATCTACTGTCACCAGACAGGCAAATAGCACTGATAACATAGCAACAGCCAATGTGCTGTGATTGCATGCTGTAAAGAAACGGCAATATTGCATGTTTTTTGTTAGAAACTATTATTTATATCACATGGTTCTGAATTTAGTGTTCACATGGCAGCAGCAAAGCGTAATGCTCACAGTGTGTGGATGCTCATAGTCTCTGGGGAACATCTCTGCTGAATCACTGTCCTCAGTCACCTTTAGTGTACAGACACACAGTGGGACCCAAAAGTCTGAGGATGCACTGAAAATCTGAAATAAAAATAAAATTTCAAGAGTTTGACAAACATACAGGTGCATCTCAAAAAATTAGAGTATCGTTAAAAAATTACTTTTTGTAACTTATTTCAAAAAGTGAAACTTTCATATATTCTAGATTCATTACATGTACATTAAAACATTTCAAAAGTTTTTTTTGTTTTAATTTTGATGATTAGAGCTTACAGCTCATGAAAGTAAAAAATCCAGTATCTCAAAATATTAGAGTATTTAGGCTACATTTGAGTTTCATTAAATGACCATCCCTACAGTATAAATTCCGGGTATCTCTTGTTCTTTGAAACCACAATAATGGGGAAGACTGCTGACTTGGCAATGGTCCAGAAGACAATCATAGACACCCTCCACAAAGAGGGTAAGTCACAGAAGGTCATTACTGAAAGGGGTGACTGTTCACAGAGTGCTGTATCAAAGCATATTAAATGCAAAGTTGACTGGAAGTAATAAATTGGGTAGGAAAGGGTGCACAAGCAACAGGGATGACCGCAAGCTTGAGAATACTGTCAAGCAAAGCCGATTCAAACACTTGGGAGAGTTTCACAAGGAGTCACCACGCTCAGACGTCTTCAGGAAAACAGTTACAAAGCCACTTCTGAAACAGAAACAACGTTAGAAGCATCTTACCTGGGCTAAAGAGAAAAAGAACTGGACTGTTCCTCAGTGGTCCAAAGTCCTCTTTTCAGATAAAAGTAAATTTTGCATTTCATTTGGAAATCCAACAATACAGATGAGCTGAAGGCCGCTATTAAAGAAACCTGGGCTTCAGTAGTGCCTCAGCAGTGCCACAGGCTGATCGCTTCCATGCCACACCTCACTGATGCTGTCATTTGTGCTTAAGGAGCCCCGGCCAAGTATTGAGTGCATAAATGAATTTTTTTTTAAAGAACTTGAGTTTTTCTGTTTTGCAAATCCTTTTTTTTTTTTTTGAATGTAGAATATTTGAAAGTTTCACTTTTTGAAATAAGTTACAAAAAAAAAGAACTTTTTCACGATATTCTAATTTTTTGAGATGCACCTGTAAAACAAATAGATTAGTTTGAAATATGAGGAAACTTTTAAATCTCCAAATAAAGCAAATGTTTTCTGATTTTGAATTTAGAATAATAATAAAAAAATTTAAAGCAAAGAAATGTTGTGAAATATTTAAGATTGTACAAATATATGACACTGGCCGTGTGAACCCCTTTGTATAAAAGTTCAGATTTACTTCCATTAAAGTGCAAGATGCTCTTTGGATCCTTCTCAAATCATGCTGGACAACATGATAATCAAATCTGACACAAACATGTGAAGATAATGCAGCTTGAGTGCTGCTGCCATTAAATCAGGGGTGTCCAGTCCTGTTCCTGGAGTTCAGCTCCAACTCCAATTAAACGAACCTGAACCCAAGTAATCAAGGGCTTCAGGATTACTAGAATCTTCACAAGTTGGGACAAGTTGGAGCCAAACACTGCAGGACTTTGGTTCTCCAGGACCAGGATTGGATTCCCCTGGATCAAAGCAAAAGGCCTTGTAACAAAAGGTACATCAAAAGCATTCACAGTAAAAGTTTAACATATGAAGTGTAAGTTTGAAAATAGAGAACCTTCAAAATTGGGGTCATATCATCAACCCGTGGCTCTGAACACATCACAGTTTAGCATAACACAGTATCACAGTTTAACATAACTTTGTAAACCGACTTGTTAAAGTTTTGAAGACCTTTTAGGTCCTAATAAGAAAGGCAACAGTGCACATGAACTCCAGCCATTATAACTACTCAGCCTTGAAAAGAGTGTTCTCTGTTTAGGCAAGTGCATGCTTCACCAACGTCACACACATTACTTAACCTTTGAATGGAGGGTGCTACAGGAAACTGCAAGAAAGTGTCAGGGGAAATAGAGACGCTGAGTGAGCAGGCACACTTAGACTGCAATGGCAACTGTTTTAGTGTTCTCATATTTGGGCATTCACAGGTATGAATTATTCTTTTTTCGAGATGTTTGTATTCTCATGTCATGCTCTTTTCCGTTTTCCTTTTTTTAATTGCCATGTGGTTTTGCGATTCCTCATTGTTAACTTGTCCTTGTATAATATTATGAACAACTGATGCTTTTTCCTTTAAAAATTGTTTACTGGTGGCCTATAGGAAGAAATGAATACTGTGACCTTTCACATACTGATATGACACCTACATCTCTATCGATTTGAATAAGGATGTGGCTTCTAATTTTGGTATTTTCCATTGAGAAATGTTACAGAATTTCCTGTGCAGTGCCTAATTTATACGAGATGCTGTTACTGTGATATTGTATATGAGCTTTGACCTTGTTGTTGACTGATGCTCAGAGAGATTTAGTGTCTGAATGTCTCTCTAATGCAGCATACAAACGTCAAGTTGAAGATAAAATGTAGCATTGAAAAGCACATCTTCCAGCCCCCAGTCTCCTTGGTTTTACAAGGACACGAAAAAAGCCTCTTAGGGAAATGTGATTTATTTTACTCTTCAGAATTGATTTTTAAACTTGAAAATGTGCATATATGTGATGTTGCAATCGTTTTTATGAGTACAAGTTATTTGGTCATTTTCTCTCATAATAATAAAGTGAAATGACATGGAAGAAAAATTGTTCCATCTATTGGGTCCTTGAAAGACTTCCAGCAATATATATTTACTGCTATTCACAGAATGTATCATTTATGTTACTATTTAACTATATGGATCTTTACTTGGGGCTTTAAAGCCATTAATGGAAAGGCTTCAAATGGTCATTAAAGTCTCTTTAAAGTCGAGAGCTTTCTCAGTGCTGCATTTCTCAAAAAACTACAAAAAAAAAAAACAGAAGCTCAGTGAGGAAAAAATAAAGGTTGTCTCTAAAATATTGTAAATTGATCTGTCGGAGAACTTTTAACCAAGCAGATGTTTTCTTTTTCCATGTGTCACCTCAGGTTATGCTGCCCGAAAGTTCCCAGTTGAGTCTGAGTGAAAGAGAAAAGGGCTAAAGCCAGCGCACTTTACAGCATCACACACAAGCCTGACCATAAGCAATGAGTGACCCTCAGGATGCCAGTGACGTCACTTCAGCCGCAGGCTTGACGAAGCATTTGGTAAGTAATCTTTAACTTTAAAATTTTTTAGGCTATGAAGATGATTAAGCTGGAATATGTTTTGCCTATACAGTACATCTAAGGTTCGTTTCATCAGTATTCATCCACTGCTTTTCTATTAAACACAAAATATTAGTAAAGTGAGTGAGACAGTGACCCTGTTTACTTTTTTAACACAATATACCTGTTGCAAATTATACAGGGCAGTGTTCTGTACTGATTCAAACTGTTTAATTGTATTTTTTAGTAATTTATTAAAGAACCAGAACATATGAGTCATTCTGTTTGAGAATTGGACTACACTGGTTGCGCTATGTTTGTGATTATTTAAAAAGAATCGGTTCATAAGAGTCATTTGTTTGTGAATCAAACTACATTGGTCTGTTGTATGTCAATACAACTCAATGTAAAGACGTTTTGTAGTTGTGAGGTTTTGTATATCGCGGTATATTTGGTAGTACACTTTCACGCATCCGCTGAAAATACAGTTGATATCAGGAGAGTTCAAATGTAGATTGCAGAAAATTGGCTCTCCGATGTTGTGCAGCTTAGTGTTTTCTTTGGCACACAGAGGAACTAGTGGCATAAATAGCTGCCAAAGTGTTATCTAAGGTTAGGGGTACAGGTTTGGTTTATTTTCAGCAGTGGGTGATTGTTGTGTGCGTTTGTGTGGTATATGTGTTTAGGAACATCATTAAGTTCTGGTCTGCTCTCAATTGCCATTGATCTAGAGGTCTGAGTCACCAGAATAAGATTTAAAAACAATTTGTGTAACCATGGGGACAGAGCCACCTAATGTGCCATACCCAGAAATCAGTTTACTTCTGAGGAACATTACACAGCAGTGATAAAGACGTGCTGTGCAAATTGTGTCTGGTTTTTAAATATGTCCCTGGAAAACTGTAGTGTTTCAATTAGCCTTCATCTGGGTGGTTTTCTGCTCCTCAAAGAGCCATGCATGGCTTGATGGACTTGCTTCTTACACTCATGAATGGAACAGAGGCTCTCAGCGGTAACAATCAAGAAATCAAACCTCCTGCCAACAAAGCTTATATTGATAAAAGCTCTTATTGATGATTCTGCAGTGTGAATAACATTGTTACATAATAGAACCTTAAGTAATCATTTGAACAGTAGATGATTGTTAAGCATCTAGTTATGGCACCAGACAGTAGTTATAACTTTAAATGTCTTTCAACTTAAACAAGTCACACATTGTCTTGTTTTTCGTTAAAAATAGCTAAACATCAACTTTTTTACCCCATTGTTTTTTTATTTTCAAAGGAATAGTTCACCCAAAAATGACAATTTTGTTATCATTTACTTACCCTCATGTTGTTCCAAACCTGTGTGAGGTTCTTTCCTATGTTGAACATAAAAGAAAATATTTGAAAGAATGCTGGTAATCAAACAGTTGATGGTTCCCATTGACTTCCATAATATTTTTTTCTCTACTATGGAAGTCAATGGGGACCAACAACTGTTTGGTTTCTCAGAATTCTTCAAAATATCTTCTTTTGTGCTCAACATGAGAAAGAATCGCATACAGGTTTGGAACGACATGAGGGTGAGTAAATGATGACTAAATTTTCATTTTTGGGTAAACTATTCCTTTAAGCATAAACCTAGTTTGTTTTTTTAAATAATATTTTTAATAAAACCATTTATTGAAAAAACAATTATTTAATTCCAAGTATATACATGAGTACATAACATATAGAAATAATGTTTAATCATTAATAAGTGAAGTATAGTCAATAAAATGTATAAAAAATTTTAAAATGATCAAAATGTATTAAAATTAAAGAAATATTTGCCAGTGTGGTAATTCAGGTTATATTTTGTAAAACAAACAAACAAAAAACGAAAAACAGGTCTTAATATCTTATGCATGTAATAAGGTCTTGTTTTTAAGGATGTTTAGATATTTTTAAATGTAAAACAAGACAAAATTACTTATTAAAGCGGTCACATTCTGTTAGTGAAGAAACACCCTGTATGTTTAGGTATGATATCAGTTTATTATATCATATCATACATAAAGTGGACATTGTCACAGGAAATGTCTCTTGTAATAAATATTACTTCAGAGCGGGTGGAACAAACAGAACATCCTGAAGCATAATTTTAATACCTGATTACATGATGGTGTTTTAAATATGAGATTATGCAGAAGATCTGGGGTTTTTTGTGATGAGATAAAAGAGCTAAATAAGGTCATCAGCGGGTTCACTGTGAAGTCATTTTCTGTCTGGTAAAACGATTGTGTAATTCTGCAGGATCTCTGCTCATTCAGTCTGAGCATTGTTCCCCATATTAAAATCATTCTCAGATCTCACAGAGGCAATGACACTTCTTAATATGAGTCGCTCACTGTGTGGATGGACGGAGGAAGGTGAGGTGACAGGAGCATCACATTTCATCCTTTGAAAAAAACTAAAAAAACTTTAATCCCTGTGTAGAGGATTCCGTATTCAGGAATACAAAGCTTTGAGTTATATCAGAAATATTCGAGCCAGGTGTAGATAATGGAGGCAAATCAGAGACAGATGGATTTGAGGAGGTGGAATGTGAGTGTGTGTGTGTGTGTGTGTGTGTGTTTATAGGGGCCTCATGCACCTGGGTGCACCAATAACAGTCCCGACTTGGTGCCCTTGATGGGATAAGAATTATGTCTACAATATCCTAACTAGGTTGTTGCAACAAGCAGTTGTGTGTCATAAAGCGTGTGATGCGACACAATAAAAACAGCCAATCAGAAAAGTTGCCATCTGTTTGGTCCCTCTTGTACATTTGGATCACAACTTAAAAACAGAGCTTAAAAATAAGTAACGCAAGTTGCTTTTTTTCTTTCAATTTATTGATTGACAGCTCTCCTGTCCCCATGTTGAGAGAAATCAGAAGATGTTACTGTAGTTCTAAAATAAATATGAATATGCATTAATTCATCTCACTCACAAAAAAAAACAAAAAAACACAGATTCAGTATTCCTCAAAATTAAGAAGTGAAAGTTCTGTAAATAGGAAGATGACTATGCATGTAAGGGATCAGGATGTGACTATAGATATGGCCGATGATGTCAGAGGCTGGGGGTGTAGATAAGTGTCTGATTAGATCCTGCTGCAAAGAATCGGCTCTATACTTGATATCACATCCTCTGCTTCCTTTTCTTGAGGGCTGCCTAGCATGTGGCTGCCATGGCTATACACTGCAGTCAGAAGACCTTTCAATGTCTTGATTGTCTCAACGGTTGACAAGAGCAGCTGGTCACTACCGCACATTATGTTTTTTGGTCCACCTTATTGGCAGTTTGGTATGTGTGTATCATACCAGGCTTCTTAACAAGCCTAAGCAGTTAGACATCCATGGTCCAACAGCTTCACAAGGCTCCTTGACGCATTCAGCATCACTGGCTGACTTTAGTCATGATCTACTGGAGCGACTCTGTGAGTGGCTGTAGGAGTGCTGACTCACTCTCTGTGGCTCTGGTGGAATGAGCTACAGGATGCTGCGTCTTGATTGAGCATGTGCGTGCCAGAGTTTGGTATCTGTGGGCATGTTAGTTTTACCTGGAGCAGGGCCCCTCTGTCAAAACACAGAATTAAATGAAGCACATGACCACAAGCCTCAGTTTATCCTCAGGATAGCATACCACAGACAGCGGGGGAGAAGAGACGGAATGAGAAAATGAGTGTAGAGAGAGAGATACCATCCATAAATATATACAGATATGTCATTCATTTACTATGAAGCAGGTCAACAATGTAATACCTAGAGCATTCACAGTCATTCCATTGAGAGTTGACTCCTGGAAGTTTGTGATTTGAAATCTGCTATGAGCAGCATAAGCATTCAGTTCTGCGTCCAAATGTTATTTTAGCCAATCAGCTGAGCTGTAAATGCCAGGTGATTGATTAATCAGCTGATGCAGGAAAATGGCATGACAGCGCTGATTGGGTGAAGGCAAACTGTAAAATATAAAAGTACATTTTATTTTTTATAAGATGTATTTTGTCATAATGCACAGCTAATTTTGAATGACTGTCATTGGAGAAAGAGGCTTTTCTGAGTCAGATGGAGTCGTTCCGGCATATACCAGCAGGGGCTAACCAGGCAAAACAACCTTTTTTTTTCTTTCTTTTTTTTTTCCGTTTTTCATTGTGCCTTTGCATGCATGATTACAGTATTTTATAAGTATGGAACAAGTAGCTTGAATTATCTTTCAGTGAAAAAGGCACTTTTATTGTGGGAGATTTCATGTTTATGATTTATACAAAAATCATCTTATTTATATATTCTTTTCTCATTATTTGTGTTTAATTCATTTTAAATAAATGTTAAATCACTTTTTATAATTTTTCTTATGCATCTGTTATAGATATTTTATGATAATTTTCAAATAATTTTTATGTTATGAATTAGCATAGTGTATAAACTGTGCTATATAAATTAATTCGCCTTGTCTATGATGTACAAATAAGAACCTGAGATTGCATGTCTGAAAGACTCTCTTTCTTGCATAACATCTGCTTTGATATCTACGTAGGCTATTTGAAAAGAAATGAAAGTTAATATTTTTCTCTCTGGTTACATGTAGCCTGTTGCAGTGCATTCTCCGCCCCAGCGATGTGATGATGATGATGAAGGGGACTTGAACAAGACACTGGGAGTGCAGCGCTTCCAGCAGATCCTCACACCTCCCCAGCGCGTGCCTATCGAACAACACCGCACCTTTAATGAGGAGGACTTTGAGTGTGAGAGCTTTACTACTGATGCATTTGGTCTATAGCCTTAAAAACATTCTTCATATTATAAATGACTAAATTAAACGAGAATGCATATTAATTTGACTGTTTTATTGATATTTATAGTGTTTTATGGTGTTTTTTTCTAAAAAAAATTCTCAAAATTATATTAATATTAAGAAAACAACAAAAGTGAAAAGTCTGTCATTGTTTACTCTTTCTCATATCATTCCAAATCTCTATGCCTTTCTTCCATGGTCTGCAAAAATGTAATCAGTAAATGCTCAATGAATCATAAATGGCTCAATGGATAGTTAGTGAGGCTACGAAGCCCTTAAGGGGAAATTAAATTATATTTCAATGCATTTGCATTTTCCTGCAAAAGTATTTTGTTCTCCTGAGAAACTTTGTGTTTGTTTGCAATATAGAGCACTGAAATACAAAGTTCTGGCATGAAACTCTAGATGGCGCAGTCCGATAAATCTAACTCATAATGACATCATCATCACATGTCACAGCTGATTGGTTCTCTCCAGTATCGGTAGCCAGTGAGCTCGCTGCTCAACATTCAAATACTTAGCTAATGTTTGTGGTAGCAGGTTTTCCCTCCCACCTCATATTATTTCTATCTCAAAAGTTTTGTAGGAGAATGCAAAGTTTCTCAGGGGAACACAAACACATTGAAATATGATTTTTTTTTTGTCCTATCTATTTTTTTTTTACCATGACCACTTCCCTTAAGGGGCTCTGTAGTGATGCTCTTCTAAGTCTTTGATGTTTTTGGCATTTGTAGATCACCGTCACACCTCTCTACACATTCACCACCCTCTGTCTAAACACCTCCCAGAGGGCCGGAGGAAAAAGCCTGGAAGAAAGCGGAAGGACTCAGGACGGAGGAGGAGTTCATCTATGGGATCAGCTCCCCCGATAGATGAGGATGAAGAGGATGAAGAGGTGGATGAAGAATCTTGTAGCCAGCAGGATAAAGAGGGCAATGTCACCACCACACCTACACCGGAAACGGACTCAGAGGTGGACGCACAGGTAGTTGAGTCACACACACACACACACGCACACACACTCTAACACACTACTTGTTATGATCTTACTAACTTCTTTCTTGTTGGCCCACAGTTTTTTGTATCAGAAGATGATCCCGACTCCACTGTAAAGAAGAACGGTAAAGCCTCACCACAACGAAAGCTGCCAATCATACCCCATTCAACGCTTCACACCAGTATCAGCATCCCAGAAAATGTTGCAACAACTGCGTAAGTGTATATGCGCACACACACACACAAACGCATAGAAAGAATAAAATGCATGTATGTGTTCAAACTCACTATGTTCTGTTACCACCGCAGGGGCAGAAATTGGGTTCGTAATCTGCCCAATGGCAGACGAGTTTCTGCACCATGTTTGTTTCCAAGTTTGAGTTCTGGCCGCAGCTATGATCTGCAGGAGCGCCGCCGGACGGGCAACATGACAGGCACTTCACTAGAGCACTACCAATACATGCCTACTGACGAGAGCGAGGCACAGACGCTCGCCACCGTTGACCTGGATGGCATTAAAAGTGAGTATGTGTGTTTGTGTAAAATGTGACAAAAAATTTATTTGGCAACGTAAGACCAGTGAAGAGTTTTAACATTTATCGTACTTTCAAAAGTTTGTGGTCGGTAAGGTTTGTTTAATGTTTTTGAAAGAAGTCTCTTATTTGCTCACCAAGGTTGCATTTATTTAATACAGTAAAAACAGTAATATTGTAAAATACTATTACAATGTCAAATAACAGTTTTCTGTTTTTAATATATTTTAAAATGTAATTTATTGCTGTGGTGACAAAGCTGAATTTTCAGCAGCCATTACTCCAGTCTTCAGTGTCACATGATCCTTCAGAAATCATTTTTAATATGCTAATACATTCTTTTCAGTTTTTTACAAATAGTATTTTTTAAAAATGATGATGATCATTATAATTAAATAAAAATTGAATGTACATTCTAAAAAATAATATATACATAATCAATTATATATAATAAAACATACAATCAATGATACAATGTTACCTAATATTTATTAATAATATATTTACTAATTTATCAGTTAGGTGATATACTGTATGCATATCTACACATATTGGTGCAACTTTCTTTCCCTTACTGAATGTGTTAACACTTCAGTTTCAATTAATCATTTTAATTAATTGATAGCCTTTTAAATATTTTTTGTTTTAAAATTATGAATTCTGTTTAATATGTTTAACAGAGCAAATTCAGAATTTTCCAAGTACCCATTAAACCTATTTAAGTTCCTCCTATGGTATAGTGCAGCAGTATATTAGTTATTAGTGAGATTGGTGGTTTTTCAGTGAGTATTGGATATTTCAGCTGATCATAAATCATCAATAATGTGTGTGTTTTTTTCCTTTCCAGAGGGAAAATACATACAAAGATCAGGACATACATAATTTCTCAGAGAGAGAGAAATAAATAAATAAATAAATGAATACATAAATGAAAATACATGCATACACATTAATGTTACTATGGAGATTGTTATTACCGTAAAATCTTGAAAACAGATTTTACATTGTTACATAATCATTATATTTTCTTCCTCTTAACAGCAAATATATATAACAGAACATGGGAAGCTATTCCTTACAACTCATACAAAAAGTTGCCTTAAAAAACAACTGTTTCAATTCAAGAAAAATCTGGGCGTACCAGTTTAATATAATCTATCCATTTATTCCTAATTAGACAAAAAATCTTCCATCTGAGTTCTTAATTACAAAGATTTTTCATTTTCCATCATATATATAATATATATTGTATCAATCCATTCCAATAACGTGTTTTCAGTGCTGGAAAATGTGTTTGTTTTCCTGTTGTTTGTTTTATAAAGGACTCCTTTATTTACCTTTCTGTTCTCATTCTTCTGAGAATAAATCATGTTTTCAGTCTGTACATCTAATCATCTATGGCTGTGGTTCAGGAATGTGGACATTCTCAAAGAGTGCAGAGCTGCCCACTACAACTGTGCCTTTGACGTCTCTTTTGTATGCGTGTGTGCTGTAAATACAGATAATTTTGACTGAACAATAGATCACTTTGAGACACAAAACTGAGTCACGTTCTAGTGAGCGCCCAGTTGAGTTTTCAGTGTGTTTCTGTGTTTGGATGCTGAGTATTGTGTGTAATGTAGCCAGTATTGTCAGGGTTAGGTAAGCACCTGAGTTACTGATACTCACAGACCTTCTGGTGTGTTACAATGGATTCAGTGTTGTTCTGACTTGCTTGTTGTTTTTTAACTCTTGGTTTAGTATTTCAGCATCGTCTTGCTGTCTTTCTTGCAGGTCACAGGTTTGAAGATGTCCCTGGTGTGCGGCGGCACCTGGTTAAGAAAAGCGCTAAAGGTCAGGTGGTTCACATCGGCAAGGACCACAAAGAGCCCAGCAGTCGTATCCGGACCAAGTTGGATCGAACCCCACATGAGGTGAGACGCCAGCTAACTAGATTATCTTTCCCCTGTCCACTTGGAGCTATTTCCTAGGCTTGGGTGGGTGTTTGGTGTAGCTAATAAAACATGCATATTATGTCTTCAGTATCACCTTAATAACACAACTGTAAAAATAAGATTATTTCCCAAATAGCCCCACCCCAAACTCGCACGATTAGCAGAGTCGATATTGCTGTGTTTGGCTTATCAAAATGCACAAACAAAAAGAACAATGTTTTCAGGAAATCAACCTACTGAAGTTTCAGTATCAAGCAAATTGCATACTTTAGCTGTAATGCTTTCTTATACTTGATGAGACAATACAGTAAAATATTTAGATTTAGTTTGCATGCTGTACAATCTGGGGTATCACTGCCATTGGCTCACTGAGCCTGCTGTTGTTTATTAGAGGAGATCATGGCCCTGTTACATGGACTACAGGGTTCGTCAGGCCCGACAGCTGAAGGTAGGGTGACACAGAGCTGGTATGATTGCTTTGTGGAACAGCTGAAGCTTGCGTGTGGTTTTTTACTCACCACTTGTTTGCTAATACATCTGTAACAGTGGTTTTGTGGAAGGCAGTGGATGGTCACAGTATCAGAACTGTGTAGAACTAAGCTGGTAGAACTGTACTTGTGTAGAGCTGTTCAGTCATTATAGAATGCCACTTTTTGATTTATGAGTAGAATAGGTCTGTTAACATTACTAACATTATTTTAATTTTTGTAACATTACTTAAAGAGACTTTAACATTTAATGTAAAGGATAAGAGTTTACGTGCTTGTCAAATCAAGTGGCAATTATAGATTTTTTTTCCAAAAGAAATAAACACTTTTAGAACTTAAGGACACACTAAATTGACCAAAAGTGAGAGTTAAAGACATTATAATGTTACAAAAGATTTCTGTTTAAAATAAATGCTGTTCTTTTAAACTTTCTATTCATCAAAGATCCGGAAAAATATCATAGTTTCCACAAAAATATTAAGCAGCACAACTGTTTTTAACTGATGTGCTTAAACTTATTTCAAAAACTTAAAAGAAATCTTATCAACCCCAAACTTTTTTGAATGGCAGTGTAGCTTATATATATATAATGGCATATTTGCATTTTTAAAGCACACAATACATTTAGGATTCACATATGACATGTGTAATTTAAAGTCTCTTCAAGTGGTGATGTTACTCATAAATAAACAAAAACCTCTTTTCTAACAACCTATTAGAAATGTCTCAGAGAACTTCAAATGCTTAACATTAGTTTTAAGATAACTGAACAGCTCTACTGACATCATCAACTTAAACACAATAAATTAGGTTTTATTCCAACAGCTGAAATCTGCAGATATTTTTGGATGGCTTGACTGAAAGAAAAAACAAAAAACTACAGGTATAATCCACAATGAAATGTAGACTAATTTGAATCTGGTCTGCTTCCTCAAATGAAGTGTTTAGCATTGCCTGCAATGATGCATGAACTCTTGTTTTTTTTCTTAATTTTTTCTTCCGTAAGGTTGTGAGGTGCTGTAAACTCTTTTGCCTTTTATATTTTATAGAAAGAAAGTTTACTGAACCTAATCTGACTCAATGAACTCATAATTCCTTCTAGCATAAACAGACGGCTTTCCATCAAATGACTTGTACTGGATCTAAAAATGTACAACTTTGAAAGAAAGATCGCATAAATAATAAATGTATGTGTTCTCTCAGGTGTTTGTCGAGCTGAATGAGTTACTGATGGATAAGAACCAGGAGATGCACTGGAAGGAAACAGCTCGTTGGATAAAGTTTGAGGAGGATGTGGAGGAGGAGACGGAGCGCTGGGGCAAACCTCATGTAGCTTCACTCTCATTCCGCAGCTTGCTGGAGCTCCGCAAGACCATTTCACATGGTGAGAGAGGAATACAAATACAATGTGTGAATTGATTGCTAACTTTAGTTTAAATTACTCTGATTTCTTACACATTTAAAATGCTTTTTGGTGTGTCTGATGTATTGGTGGTCATTTTACAGGTGCAGTGTTGTTGGATCTGGACCAGAAGACGCTGCCTGGTATTGCTCATCAGGTTGTGGAGCAGATGATTATCTCAGATCAAATCAGAGCACAGGACAGAGCCAATGTGCTCCGAGCCCTGCTCCTCAAACACAGGTTAGTTTCACCACTGCACATCTCAAAAAAGATCAATCAAGTTACTTGCCTATTAAAGAACACCTTACTCATTTGGATCATGCAGCTGAACTTCCTGCTTTGTTGTTCTTCTGTTTGTCAGTCATCCGAGTGACGGCAAGGAGCACAGCTTATTTAAAAGGAACATCTCAGCAACCAGCCTTGGCTCTCTCATATCTCATTACCATAGCAGTAACCATATCGCCGCACCGGAGCCCCCTGCCACAGACCCGCTCATCGGAGGACTACGTAACTTTGAGTCACGCATTAGTGTCGACTCAGATAGGAATGAGGTGCTGTGTGCATTAAAGTCTGTGTGCGTTTTTAAGAGGCAAAGAATGGTAAAATAGACAATTAGAACTTTCCCTCACTGTTTCCATAGAAAGACACACCCCAGTTTTTTGGTTTGCACAAGACCAAATCTAAACATGAGCTGAAGCTGCTTGAGAAGATTCCAGAGGATGCAGAAGCAACCGTTGTCCTTGTGGGTCAGTTAACTGTCCGTATTTAACTCACAACAGTCAGCACATGACACGTTACATCTGTTGAAGCCATGATGCAGATGATCTCGATTTTCACAGGTAGTGTGGATTTCCTGGACCAGCCCACCATGGCCTTTGTGAGACTGCAAGAAGCGGTTCTGTTAGAGTCAGTTCTAGAAGTGCCGATTCCAGTGCGCTTTCTTTTCGTGTTGCTCGGCCCTCCCAATGCCAACATTGACTACCACCAAATCGGCCGCTCCATATCAACACTTATGTCTGATAAAGTAGGTCTCATTGAATAAGAGATAGTGCACCCAAAATCAATGTTCTGTCATATTATGATATATAGACTACCGTTCAAAGATTTGGAGTGAGTACAATTTTTGTTTTTGGAAAAAAAAAAAAATTGAGTAAGGAAACATTAAATTGATCAAAAGTAACAGTAAAGACATTTATAATGTTACAAAATATTCTGTTTTAAATAAATGCTGCTGAACTTTCTATATGTCAAAAAATACTTTAAAAATTCAACACAGCAGCACTGATAATAAAAAATGTTTCTTGAGCACCAAATCAGCATATTAGAATGATTTCTGAAGGATCATGTGACACTGAAGACTGGAGTAATGATGCTGAAAATTCAGCGTTGCATCACAGGAATAAGTTACATTTTAAAGTATATTAAAATAGAAAACAGTTATTAGAAATTGTAATAATACAGTATGTGACCCTGGACCACAAAACTGCTCGTAATTGTGACACAATTGTGAAATTGAGATTTATACACCTGAATAAATAAGCTTTCCGTTGATGTACGGTTTATCAGGATAGGACAATATTTGGCCGCGATAAAACTATTTGAAACTCTGGAATCTGAGGGTGCCAAAAATCAAAATATTGAGAAAATTTTTAAATAAAACTACGTTTTGGTATACGGTAGGAAGTTGTCAAAATATCTTCATGGAACATGATCTTTACTTAATATCCTAATGATTTTTTTTGCCATAAAAGAAAAATCTATCATTTTGACCCATACAATGTATTGTTGGCTATTGCTTCAAATATACCAGTGCTACTTATGACTGGTTTTGTGGTCCAGGGCCACATACTTCACAATATTGCTGTTTATTCTTTATTGTTGATCAAATAAATGCAGTCTTGGTGAACATAAGAGACTTTTGAATGGTAGTGTATAAATATCTAAAAACCGTTGAAACAAGATAATTTTACTGCAAGACTTTGAAAACATATCTTTATACATTTGTTTTGCTGCATTGCCAGAAGTATAAACAGTATTTCAAACGTCTCTTCCAGCACCTTAAAAAAAAACTAAAAAAAAAACTTTTGAATGGTAGTGTATAAATATCTAAAAACCGTTGAAACAAGATAATTTTACTGCAAGACTTTGAAAACATCTTTATACATTTGTTTTGCCGCATTGCCAGAAGTATAAACAGTATTTCAAACGTCTCTTCCAGCACTTCCATGAAGCGGCGTATTTGGCAGATGAGCGGCAGGACCTGCTTACAGCCATCAACAGCTTTCTGGACTGCAGTATTGTGCTTCCTCCATCTGAGGTTGGAGGAGATGAGCTGCTGCATTCTATCGCTCGCTTCCAAAAAGAGATACTGCACAAGAGACATGAACAAGAGGTCAAACTTCAGGCCAAGGAACCCAAGAGCCCCGAGGACATTGGTACAAGGCTCTCGCTCATATACAGCATACAAAAGTGAACAGATCAGTTTACTGTTTATGCAAAATAAATGTATTGAATTACCTTTTTAATTCGTTCTTAATGTTTTCAGCTCTTCATCCTCCTCTGAAACCTGAAGACGATCCTCTTCGGAGGACGGGTCGGCTGTTTGGCGGGGTTATCCGAGATGCACGGCGCCGCTACCCCAAATACATCAGTGATTTTAAAGATTCCCTAAGTCCTCAATGCATGGCCACAGTCATATTCATTTACTTTGCTGCCCTTTCTCCTGCCATCACCTTTGGAGGACTTTTAGGTTAGTCAGAGCTCTTCTTTTTACTATATAAGCCACTGTTTTAATGATGCATCTAAAACAAGGAACTTTTGCCTAATGAAATCCGTTCTCTCCTCCCCAGGTGAAAAGACAGATGGTTTGATAGGTGTGTCCGAGCTGATTATTTCCACTGCCGTGCAGGGAATGTTGTTCTGTCTGCTTGGGGCTCAACCTCTGCTGGTGGTGGGCTTCTCTGGACCCCTTCTAGTGTTTGAAGAGTCCTTCTATTCAGTTAGTATTTCTGATAAATGAATACAAATACTACGATTCACTAAGAAACTAAAATTGTGCCTGCTAATAGTGTAGTTTATTTAATTTACAAAATGCATGCAAATAGCGCTGATTTTTGAGAATAAAGCACATTCTATATTGAGCATAATTTGAATATAAAGGCATCTTTGAACTGAAAATCACAGTATATAATAAATTCAAATACTTTTCTGTGCTACTGCAATGCATTTAGAACCTGGGTTTGTGAAGAAGACTGAATTTTTTGCGTGCAAAACTGTTTAGTGAATTCACCCCACAACTAAAATGTGAACTGTTTGACTGGAATAATATAGCAGGAAAACTGAATATGAATCAATGTGTTTGCAGTTCTGTAGGTCCAGTGAAATCGAGTATCTGACAGGACGTTTGTGGATTGGAATCTGGTTGATCATCATTGTAGTTCTCACGGTGGCCTTTGAAGGGAGCTTCCTGGTGCGATTTGTGTCACGCTTCACCCAAGAGATCTTCTCCTTCCTTATCTCTCTCATCTTCATCTACGAGACCTTCTTCAAGCTGGGCAAAGTATTGAGATGTTTTTGTTGTTTATGCTACTGTTCAAAAATTTTGATATTTATGTTCACTAAGGCTGCATTTAGTTGATCAAAAATACAGTAAAACAGTAGTGGTGTGAAAAAACATTCAGATATGCTGCTCTGGTGCTCAAGAATAATTTTATTATTATCAATGTTGAGAATGTTTTGGTCAGTTTAATGCATCTTTGCTGAATAAAAGTATTAATTAATTAAATGTAAAAATCTTAATCACCCCAAATTTTAATTAGTGGTGTATGTTTATGAAAGATTTAAATGTGATCAGCATATATTCAGACAGTCTTGTGTACTGTGCAGATCTTCATGGATCATCCTCTCAGAAGCTGCAGTGGGCGAGAAGAAAATGACACTGCTTTACCAACACCCACAAGTGACGGCAGGTCTCCAGATGCCTCTCAAACCATAAACCAGCCAAACACAGCTCTCCTCTCCCTGGTGCTCACGGCCGGCACCTTCTTCATTGCCTTCTATCTGCGTAAATTCAAGAACAGCGCTTTTTTCCCTGGCACGGTAAGCCAGTGTCCCAGTTTTGTGCCATTTACGCAATGATGTCTAGATAAACATATAGGACACGTTTTTAATGGCACTGTCAAATATCTTTGTGTGATAAAGTGGCATTGACCATAGTGATAATGTCTCTTATCTTTTGCTCAGCTCCGAAGGGCTATTGGAGATTTTGGAGTTCCTATTGCAATCTCCATCATGGTTCTGTTGGACTACAGCATTAAGGACACTTACACACAGGTGAGACATGAAGATGTGTTTATATAATTTGATTCATGTATAATCTATCATTTAAGAACTGGTTTTCTCTTAGCATTTTCCACTCAAACACCCAAATTCATTGTACATCAAGCTAAATTTTAAATGACACATTTCAAAATTACTTAAGTCTTACTGTTTTTTAGACATGTGACATTTCTGAAGTACTTTAGAGGAAATTATAGGGACTGAAAATGGAAAAAATGCATAAAAAAGGTAAATAATTAAAACAAAAAAGAAAACAAACACAAATTAAAAGGATAGTTCACACAAAAATGGAAATTATGTCATTTACTTACCCTCAAGTTCCAAACCTGTTTGACGTTTTGAAGAATGCTGGTAACCAAACAATTGATTGTAGACATTGACTTTTATATTATGGAAAAAAAAATACTATGAATGTCAAAGGCTACCGTCAGGTTAGCTACATTCTTCAAAATATCTTCTTTAGTGTTCAAGTGGAGGGTGAACAAATGATGACAGAATTTTCATTTTTGGTGAACTATCCCTTTAAGACCAAATATTTATAAAAGTCATTTAGTCATTCTTTTTTTTTTGTTGCTTTTTCTATGTTATTTCCTACATGTACATTCCAACATTTTGAAAAGTGAATTCAAGATATTTCAGTACTTTTTAAGGATTCCATTTTTTTTTAAAGTATCATCTCAGTACTTTTTTGTAAAAGGGTGGTCACATTTACTGTTGTTCCGTAAATGTTTTAGACGGTATCCAGTCATTTCAATAAGAATCCACATAACTGTATTTTGTGTGAGGGTGAAAGATTTCCCCACACAGATTTCACATGTTGATTCACTTTGCTGACCAACAAAAAGAAACTTGGTTTGAAAGTAACTTCTTTGCTTCAATAGACAATGGACCTTTTTTGCCTGTGATATTTGTCTAATGTGACCATACCTTAACTGTTGTAAGTTACCCTAAGCTTATTCACTGATTAAAGACTGGAAAATATTTGTATGTCTTTATAGCAAATGACTCCATATCCCCAGAAGTCACCTGACACATGACTCCCACACAATTTGTGATCTTTAAACTTCTTTCCTCCCCATATAGAAACTAAGTGTGCCTGATGGCTTCTCTGTGACCAGCCCTGACAAGCGTGGTTGGTTAATACACCCACTGGGCTCTGATGGCCAGTTCCCCATTTGGATGATGGTTGCCAGCATTCTACCTGCCCTGCTCGTCTACATCCTCATTTTCATGGAGACTCAAATCACCACGTGAGTCACGGGCATTCACTAACTTGTTCTGACCATACCTATAACCTCCATTATATTATTCCTGGATTTATATTGATTCAGTTTTCCTTTACAGGCTTATTGTGAGCAAGAAGGACAGGATGCTGGTTAAGGGTTCAGGGTTTCACTTGGACCTGCTGATCATCGTGGTCGCGGGAGGTGTTTCAGCGCTGTTTGGGCTGCCGTGGTTGACCGGTGCTACAGTTCGTTCTGTAACTCATGCAAATAGCCTCACAGTGATGAGCAAAGCTGTTGCACCTGGTGACAAACCACGCATTCAGGAAGTGAAAGAGCAGAGAGTAACAGGATTTCTGGTGGCTCTTCTAGTAGGTGAGTGGCTTAATTTTATGGATGATAAATATCATCTACAGTAGGCCTATATCTGCACCACAGTGTTTAGCAGCCGATATAGTTTATTGTTATCAGACAATATTGGAAATATATAAACTGATATTAGATTTTTATTTGTATGTACCTATTTCTCCCATTTCTCCATTACCTTGCCATTATCTAATGCTCACATTTTAATACTTTAATAACAAAAATAATACTTACTAATAATAATTTTCCTTATACTTTACAATTAGTAATACTTTATAGTAATAATAATAATTTAAATAATTGAACATGTTAAGTTTTAACTTTAGCAAATGTACAATTTTGTAATGCCTACATTTGCTTGTAATACTCATTAAAATGATAGGTTTTTAGTTTAGGTTTTTAATCAGTGTTGCCAAGGCCGCGGTTTTCCTGTGGAATTGGGCTACTTTAACACTGTTGCCGCGGGTTGAAGCAACCCCAATAAAGTGATATTTATCCCCTGCAATGCGGATTTTACCAGGGAAACCTTGCCAAAAAACGTGTATTTTACCCCATGGAACCCGATTTTCACCGGGGGACCCCCTCAAAACGCAGTTGGGGTAGTCTTGGGCTAGTTTTGAGTAGCAATTGGGCAGGTTTTGTTGTGAAAACCTGGCAACCCTGTTTTTAATGTTTTATTTTTAATTCAAAATAGTAACCAAAATATTGGTTATTAGCCGTAACATAAAAATTATTATTGGTTTATTGGTCATTTTAATATCATTGCATCCCTAAATAAATTCTAACATGCTACCCTCAGTGAATGGCTTGTTGAGTTATTAGTTATAATTTCTTTATATTTGTGACCCTGGACCACAAAACCAGTCTTAAGTCGCTGGGGTATATTTGTAGCAATAGCCAAAAATACATTGTGGGTCAAAATTATCGATTTTTCTTTTATGCCAAAAATCATTAAGATATTAAGTAAAGTAAAAATCATGTTCCATATTTTGTAAATTTCCTACCATAAATATATTCAAACTTAATTTTTGATTAGTAATATGCGTTGCTAAGAACTTCATTTGGACATCAGATTCCAGATTTTCAAATAGTTGTATATCAGCCAGATATTGTCCCATCCTAACAAACCATACATCAATGGTACAGCAGCTTATATACAGCTCATTTATTTCGCTTTCAGATGATGTACAAAAATCTCAGTTTTGAAAAATTGACACTTAGGACTGGTTTTGTGGTCCAGGATCACATTTGTTGTTTTGAACTGACAGTAGATCAACTCTCTTTCCTCCAAAGGTCTGTCCATTGTGATTGGAGATGTTTTGCGGCAGGTTCCTATCGCTGTGTTGTTTGGTATATTCCTCTATATGGGAGTGATGTCTCTCAATGGGATCCAGCTAACAGAACGCATGATGCTGCTATTTATGCCACCGAAGTACCATCCTGACCACACCTATGTCCGCAAGGTTTGTCATTGAGAACTCAGCCAAGCACAATATTCACCAGTCTTAAATCAATAATCAGATGACAGTATGTCTGGAACTCCATTCTCAAATTGTCTCTTCAGATTTAGCTGTGCTTTAACCCTTGACTTGTCTATTTCAGGTGCGTACTCTACGCATGCACCTGTTCACATGTTTGCAGCTGGTGTGCCTGGCTGTGCTGTGGGCTGTAATGTCAACCTCGGCCTCATTAGCCTTCCCGTTTGTTCTTGTCCTCACTGTGCCATTCAGAAGGTTCCTGCTGTCCCGAATATTTACTCGCCGCGAGATACAATGTGTGAGTGTTTCTTTTCTTTTTGTTGATAGGAAAATGTATATTTGTAGATGTATTGACAGTGTTTTTTTTTTTACCCGTTTAGTTATATCTTATGCAGTTGTGTAAATTTATAGTAAGATTAAAATACAGTTGAGGTCAAAAGTTTACACCCCCCTTTCAGAATCTGCAAAATGTTAATTATTTTACCAAAATAAGAGGGATCATACAAAATGCATGTTATTGTTTATTTAGTACTGATGCTCCAGAAGGAAAAACCATGCATTAAGAGCCGGGGGTGAAAACTTTTTGAATTTAAAGAGCAGGGTAAATGTAACTTATTTTGTCTTCTGGGAAACACGTAGCTATCTTCTGTAGCCTCTGAAGGGCAGTACTAAATGAAAAAAAATATGATATTTAGGCAAAATAAGAAAAATTTACACGTCTCCATTCTTTTCAAAAGTTTACATGTAGGCTCTTAATGCATGGTTTTTCCTTCTGGAGCATCAGTGAGCATTTGAACCTTCTGTAATAGTTGCATTTGAGTCCCTCAGTTGTCCTCAGTGCGAAAAGATGGATCTCAGAATCATACAGTCATTGTTGGAAAGGATTCAAATACACAAAAATGCTGGAAAACCAAAGAATTTGTGGGACCTGAAGGATTTTTCTGAAGAACAGCAGGCAGTTTAACTGTTCAGGACAATCAAGGGACTCATGAACAACTATCACTAAACAAAAAAAACAAAAACAAAAAAACAGCTGTGGATCATTCAGGTAACAACACAGTATTAAGAATCATGTAAACTTTTGAATGGAGTCATTTTTATAAATTCAACTATTATTTTCTCTTGTGGACTATATGTAAACATTTTTTATGTGAAATATCTTGTTCAGGTCAGTACTAAATAAACAATAACATGCATTTTGTATGATCCCTCTTATTTTGGTAAAATAATTAACATTTTGCTAATTCTGAAACGGGGGATGTAAATTTTTGACCTCAACTGTATATTTATAACTGTATATTTAAATTTATATTATGGCTATATAGTTTGAAAAATAATGGGGGAAAAAAGTTTTGCACTGTACAGTAGCCTCTTGTTTTCAGGACTAATATTAAATCTTATTTTGCTGATTGCCTTTAATGTTGTTCGTTTTGTCTATGTGACAGCTTGACGCAGATGATGCAGAGCCGTCATCGGATGACAGAGAAGGCCAAGACGAATATACAGAGATGCAAATGCCAGTATGACCTCATTCCTCACCTGTCACTACCTGGGCTGGCCTGACTTTCTTTTCAGTCAGAGATGTCCAGATGTACTGCCTGTTTTTTTTTTTTATTAATCAGTTTTTATCTCCATTTTGTTTTTGCTTAAATTATGTAAACATTATATTTATACATATGTACAAGTATTAAGAGGTTACTCAATGTCACTTGAGCAACTATGTATCTGTTGCGTGAAGAAATCTTTGTCACCTGTACTATTAATATTTTTTTTTTCTGTTTATTTATCAGAGTTGAAATGTTATCGTTACTATGTGTGTGGTTTGGAGGGTTAAATGAATTTATGATATCCAGTCAGCTCAAAATGACACAGGAAGCACTTTAAGGTACATTTGAAATGAAGCCTTTTCTACTGCTTGTCAGTTCGTTTTATTTCATTGCGAGGTGACATACAATGTACTCCTAAAAATGAACAACTGTACAGAATGACATCACTGCAAATTATATATGGTTAATATTTTTGTAGCTAAACAGAAATAATACACAGATTTATGCTGTATTCAACTCAAAAAAGATATATCTATAAATATTGCCTATAGCAACAAAAAACTGGTTGCAGTCACCAGTTTATTTGGAAGAAGAAAACATATATGTTGATCTATGAATATGGTCTTTTGAAATTTGTTGCATAGCTGTTTTGAAACTATTTTTCTCACCAGAGCACCAAAGAGGCCTGTGTGTTTATATAACATGAACACTAAGAGAATCATAGAAGAAGTCTTAATAGTTACAATAATACATAAATATACAGAGTCATTCGATTATAGTGGATTTCATTCACCTAGTTTGTCTAAGAGAAAATGAAAGAGAGAAATGTCATTTTAAAATGTTTTATGGAGTTCAAAAGGTGAAGTTTTACACAATCTCTGTTATGATGAATAATGTTGATTAAAATATCACAGAGCACACAAAATGGTTTGATCGTTTAATGCACTACCGTTTATTTTTATTAACAAGCTTCATAGGTGAATATTTGTCTTTTAAGGGAACAGAACTAGAATCTATCAAATTTGTTAAAGCAAAAAAATACCAAATATGTCTCATGTACATTCCAATCAAAAAGATGATCTTGCAGACAATTCTTTTTATAAAGAAGGGACTACATCTAAGATGTTATTTAATCTGTTATGTGTGCGTAATGTCAAAATGTGTATTTTCCCCTGCAAAAACTGACAGTTCATTTTATTGTTTTCATTACGATCTCACATATTGTAGTAGTGCCTTTTTTCAGATATTATGTTGCTTCACAAAGTTGAAAAAAGTGACCTTAGCAAGTGAAGATAGCAAGCATTAAAGAAAAAGAGCTGTTCAACAATAGATTTTTGTGATTATTAACATGTTACTGTAGAATGTCAATGATGGTCTTTGTTTTAGCTTTGTAAATGTTTAGAGTACAGGCCCAAACCTAATAAAATAATGGAACTGATTTAACACTAGACCTTTTGTTTTTATGTATTACAATCATAATTTTACACACATAAATCCAATTAATAATGAAATTGTGCTGGTGTATCTTACTGACGTGCTATAATGTTTTGTCATATTGACTTGTATTGTTAGATGAGTATCATTAGATGGTAATGCCACTACAATATTTTCCCAAGTTATTCTCAGTTTATAAAAACTACCAGATATATCAGTCTCCGGTGGATATATTTTACTTTTCAGAGTAGATATTCTCCACGTATCCTCCATCTAGTGCACAAAGTATTTATGTTCTCTGTACTATGATGGCATATTTTACAAGGACAGGACAAACTGACAATAAAACACCATGTGCTAGATATGAAGTGAAAAAGATTATAATCCATATGCAGTGGTGGCAGTGATCTACAATAACGAAGGCCCGGTTGCTCTGTTAATGCACCTCTGCTGCCATCTCATGGCCATTACATAGTGGTGGAAAAAAAGTCTGTAGGCATAGAAATACATACTGTACATAGAAACCACGAGTACAAGGCCTAAACAAACTTCACTTTGACCCACGCACTTCCACAACATTAATTATTGCACATATGCCTCATTTATGGCTGTAATCTGGTCAAATACCATTTTCTGGGTAAATAAAAAAATTCAGTTAAAAGGATTGTTCATCCAAAAATAAAAATTATGTCATAATTTAATCACCCTCAAATTGTTCCAAGCCTGTATGAGTTTCTTTTTCCTGTTGAGCACAAAAGAAGGTATTTTGAAGAATGTTGGTAACCATTGCCTTCCATAGTATTTTTCTATGCTACATGGAAGTCAATAGCTTCTGTCAACTGCTTGGTTACCAACATTCTTCAAAATATCTTCTTTGGAAATGTATGAAACAATTGTGTCATAATGACTCAAAACTGACCTCCCACACATTTCTTTTCCATAAGCAGTGGAAAAGATTTGGCAATTAGACCTAGACAAACAGTTTACATAAACGGAATGTCAAATATTATAGTCACTTTGCATAATTTTCCTACAGGCATACATTTTTTGTTTAATTTGAGCATTTAGTTTTAAACCATTAAGACTGACTCAGGACAGTTACAAGAAACAAGTAACAAAATACACCTAACAAAAAGAACTGACCCAAAAGAACAATTCACTCTCAAATCATTAATCACTATAAATCAAGCAAGTTTTATTTTAAATAAGAACATTGTCTAGCTGGTGAAATATTTAGAAGCTCAACATGACAATAAATAATACCTTGTAAAATGTGTAACTTGATTGCCATTTGACTTGTTTTTTCCAGGTTTTCCTTGACCAGAATCTTGAGAGAAATGATCACACACACCACTAATGCTCACTATTCATGAAACATCCAGCTCAATATATATCACAAAATGCTGCCTAAATAAATGCTCATCAATGGTACACTTCCAGTGATCTGTATGAAGCATCTCTCTCAGGCCTGGTCAATCTGAGGGGGTTGAGTCAGTCACAGCTGCCTCCTCCTTTCCTCGTGCCATTGGTCAGTTTCACATAAAGAAATCTCGTGACGATTGTGTACAATCAGAGAGCGTGAGGGCGAGATACAGTCAATGGCACTTTTACTCAGGCTGAGAGGAAACGGAGGAATTGGAAACGGTGCCTCTCTGACTGTGATCTTTACGCTCAGTTCAAGCCATGGGAACTTTAAGCACAAGCAGCCGTCAACCTACATCGTCTCCGCCAACACATCAGTTTAACGTCAAATGGAGATAAACTCGACACCAATTAGAACCGAGTGTTTTTGGGCTGCAGAGGCGAGGTTTTTGGAGCGCGGAGGCTGTGTGAGTCTCAGCGGCAGCAGAATGAACGTGGGCACCCAAACTAATCGGTTTAGCACTTAAAGTCCTTGCAGGGTTGGCAAAGAGTCCTGCTCTTTTGCATGGGAACCAGTAGATATTCTTGTCCTGGTAAATGCTCAGTCATAAAAGAGAACTCTCTAGCAATTGTAAACTAATATTAATGTAGTTTATTATTGTTAGATGCATGCACGGTAATTTGCTACTTCGGTTTAGATGAGTTTAAGGCTCGAGAAAGTAGCGCTTTAAAATGTTGCAAAATGAATAATAATTTCATCAATATCATTCAGAAATGTATCAAAATGTTAAAAATAAATATTATTTTTAAGTTTTAGCCTCCGCCTTTTTTTCTCGCATGTTTTCCCTCGGAGTTCCTCCCCCTGCGGCGCTGGGCGGAGTTTCATACCGAACCAGACGCTCCTTTTGTCGGATTCGTTTCGACCTGACTCCCCGGGGTTTACGGCTAAAAAAACAGATACTTAAATACAATAAAAGCATTTAACACGAACACGTCGCTAATTAATAAGCACATCCGTGACGGGTTATTGAAAAAGGTAAGTGATTTGATGATTTTTGAGCCCGTTTAGAGCGTTTTTCAATTTGCTCGTCCCCGAGTCTTTGTAACATTCATGGCGGCTCTGCAGTGAGGGCTCTGGGGCGAGGGAAGGCACAAGCGGCCGCTCCTAGCTCTGTTTGGGATTCTGATTTACCAAAACATAGTATTATTATACTAAGACTGAATATGTGACCAGAATTAAACATTTAAGCATTTATGTTCACGACAGAATTTATTTTATAGCGAAATAATGCGTTTTTTGATACTGCCACAATCCCTGCAAAAAATCTAAATGCGAATGCATCCACACTTGAATTGTCGGCAAGGAGGTATTTGATACGTAAATATTAAGACATCACTTCACAAATTTAATCGGCGTAAGCGACGTTCCTCGTACTTTCGCCAGTAGCTTGCTCGCTAGCCGAGGCATTCGTGCCAGCGGAAGCTGCGTGGTGACTCCTGCCGGAATAAAGACGCCATTACCGGGCTTGGAAACAGACTAACGGTCGGTGCGCTACAAGAAACGTATTTTACACGAATGTATTTAATCGGTTAGTGGCCTTCACACGAATTATTAAAGCAAATATGCGGAGACTTGTTAATGACATTAATAAAGCACAATGCATTTTTGGACAGTTTACTTTATGCCATACTTTCTGTCAGAAGTGATTAACTT